CCCGCCCCCCGCTGGGTGCCCTTTTTTTTTTTTTTTTTTTTTTTTTTTTAGTTTTTTGCCATAGGGTGTGTGTGCTCACTGGAGAGAGACAGAGTGAGACAGTGAGGGGAAATGAGAACCACCCCTGGGGTGATGACTGCGGCACAATCCATTCTCCTCCAGCTCCTCCTAGAATACTGGGGGCGAATGCACATGCGCTCTGTGTGGTTGCCAGGTCTGGGACTCAAATGGCAGTTAATCATGTAGGAGTCCAGCTCCTTAACCACCAGGCCACCAGCGGTTTTGACTTAATAGTAAAATACATGTTCTCCCAATCTCTAACTTTCCCCCGTCATGCCTTCCAACCTGGAAATGGTGCATAAAATGAAAGCCTTAACTTGTTCTGCTACTCAAAACAACAAAAGTTGTATGGCTGCCCCTAGAGCTGTGACTTCCTAACCAGTCACTGCTTTTAATTTATTTATTTATTTTTTTGGAGAGGTTTTTGCTATAGGGTGCATGCGTTCACCAGAAAGACAGAGAGACAGAGACAGAAAGCGAGAAATCACCCCCCAGGGGGGATGGCCATGCCACAATAGCTTCTCCTCCTTTCTCCTCTTGGGATCTTGGGCACGCATGCACATTCGCCCAGCGTGAGTTTAAGCCACTAGGTTCAAGACTTGAACCGCGGTCAATTACATGGGAGTCCAGCGACATAGCCATTACACCAACTGCTAGTCCCACTAGTCACTGCTTTTTGAAAATGGGGGAAGTAACAATCTCAAAAAACTATTGCTAAGATTCGTAATTTGTTAGTGTAAAAATTCAGAAGCGGGAGTGACTAGGTGGGAATTAAATAAATCAGTATTCTAAATTCTTTTTTATCATAAAATATATCTAGAACTAAAACAATTCAATATCTTTTTGCATATAAGAACTTTCAAGGTTCCTTAGTATGTATAAGTATTTTTGAATGTATACAAAGAAGGAATTTCTTCTTTACATTTTAACAAGATCTAGTTTCTAAAAGCCTAAATGGGACAATTCAAAGACTACGTTAGATGACCATCACCACCACCACTTATTGACCCTTCCCATGGGTGAGACCTGTGCTTTTCTAAGTGCTTTACATGTACAAACTTACCTAGGCACTCACTGACATCATTCATTTAACTCAGACCACTGAAGTCAGTAGTTTGAGGATCTTGAAACCAAACCAGGTCCATGGTAACCACCATTCCAGATTTACTTTTAACCTAAACAAATCCCCAGCTTTGACTCTTTTACACACATGTTGCCAGACAAAGTGTTCGCCATCACTTCTCTTCCTAGAAGATCTTGGTGGTCATTATCTCCAACACCACTTCTGTCATTTTTTGTCGATTTCAGTAGCTACATAGATGATGATTCCAGTGCAAAAGCTTTCCTCCAAGGATCTTTTCCTCCACTGGACCTCAGCTACTCATCCCAATGGTCAGCCCCTATAGCTTTGGTTAGTAGTAGTAACTTGAAGCCTTCTCTACTGTTTCAAGCACCACTCTATCCACAACCTTCCATCTTTTCAGCTTCCTCCCATGTTCCTTCCACTCTTTAAAAATTTGTAATTCATTCCATCCTGCCACCTTGTCTTAGTCCCTAACACATCTCTTATCCTTATTTCATACCTTACCTACCTTAAATTTCAATGATCCATCATTTTAGTCACTTCATGTACTTCCAACTCCCTTGAGCAAAGCCCACTCTTAGAATCCACTCTCCTGCATCTACCTTCGTGTTGCCAGAGGAAATGTACAACTAAGCTAATGGGGAACTCTGTCTCTTAGTTCATGATCATTCATCTTGAGAGGCCTCCCCACTGCCAACAAGCCTACTGTATCTTCGTAGTCCATTGACTATGTCATTTTTCCAATGAAATATTTCATACTTTCTCTATTTTCTATCAAAGCTGTCAAACCCTCTTGTACAACCCTTGCTTTTATCTGCTGAGAAAATAAAAGCAAGTCAAATAGAAATCTCCCAAGCTCCTGACCTCACCTGTGTCCATACACTTGCTATATCACCAGGATACTGCTGCATCAATGCCTGCATGCTCTGCTTCCGTCCAACAACTACGGATGAACCATACTTTGCTCCCATAGAAGACCAGCCCTCTTGTTAGGCACTTAGATCCCATTCCCTTTCTTCTATTCAAAGCCATCACTCTAGCAGTTCTACTGTTTCTGTCTTGCATCTTTGACTTTCTTTCAGCTCTTCCTGTGGTCCACTGGGATTGAGTGTGTATGGAGGGTGAGATGGGACAGAGGTGGAAAACATTTTTTATCATTTAGAAACCACACACTCACCCACACACTCACATGTGCCCAGCATGTTTTTCAAGCCACTGGTCTGAAGATTCAAACCATGTAGTCAGCCATAAAGTATCTGACTGCCTTAACCACCACACCATTAGCTGGCCTGTCTGTTGTAGTTTTGTTTTTGTTTTATTTTTAGAGAGAGGTTTTTGCCATAGGGCGAGTGTACTCCCTGGAGAGACAGAGAGATAGAAAGTGAGAAATCATCTCCCCAGGAGAGATGACCCTGCCACAGTCCCTTCTCCTTCATTCTCCTCTCAGGTTCTTGAACATGCATGCAAACGAGACAGGTGTGAGTTTGGAGCTGCCAGGTCTGGGATTCAATCCAGGTTGATTACATGGGAGTCCAGCAACATAACCGCTATGCCATCCGCTGGTCCCCCATTGTAGATTTTTAATGCTAGAAGTGCTGTTTGACTAAATATCAGAATTCTATTAAAGAGACACTTGCAATTGTGGAGAAATTAAGACAGAGATTTACTGTGATGCTGGTCTTCTTACTCTTATACCCAGAGCCTTTACTAAGCAAGACACTCAAAAGTCTCAGGACTTTTGTTCAAGTGGCAGTAAATAACTCATAGTTTATAGTAACTGGATGTACTTCTCCAATAGGCAAGCACTTGTTCACAAGTTTTTGTTTTTTAATTTGCCAGGAGATGCTTGTGCTTGCTGGAGAGAGCCAGAGAAAGGGGGAGAAAACGGAAAAGCATCCCCCATGGTAGGTGGTCATAACCACTCTCTTCCTCTCCATTTTTCTCTCCTTTCAAGATTTTGGACATTCACACACACATGCACAAGTTATGTTTTTCAAGCTACCAGGTCTAGGACTCAAAGCACATGGTAAGCCTTGTGGGATCCAGCCACCTGAATCACCAGGCCACAGGATGGTCCACCACAAGATTTTTTTTTTGTTTTTTTAAACCTACAACAGCTATACCCATCAGGCAGAAAAGATTCCTAATCACAGTAAATGCTCTCCTCTTTCAGCCTAAACTACCAAGCAAAAAGAAAGCAGTTTATGGTGTTCTAAAGAAAACAAGCAAGCCCAGATACACAATGCTTTCTTGCTAAATTCCAGCTGGATGCGTTAATAAGATAATGCGAAAATCTATCATCTGGCTCAGATGCACTGTCTGTTGAAGGTGTGGCTGGTGGCAACTGCTGTTTTGTTAAGATTTTGCTTTTACTATTTGTCTGAAGTGTATCACAACCTGTATTTAAGGAGAACATGTTAAAAATAAAGATAGAAGCTTGAGGACAAAATGCAGTTTGTACCAAAGCAGCCATTATCAAGAAAGCGTGCGAATCCAGGATTAAAGCAGCCTGGGGAAAGTTAGTTTTACCCTAACTATGTCCAAGGGAGAACTTCATTTTTCAGAACCATGCATTTCAATGTGTTTAGAATCTAAGTGAAATACTACTCCAAGGCATTCTCTTTCACAATGCTATTTGTACGACACTCACTGCTACCAAACCCACGGTAAAGAAAGATGCATTGTTTTAAATATATCTGGAAACAATTTACCTTTGATTTTAGATAGGATCCAGTCCAGGGAGACTTTCGTCCGGGCTAACACACTGGGCTTCCGTGGCCGCACACAGTCAGGGCTCCAGCCATTGACACTGTCCAGGACAAAGGGACCGTTTCCATGTGTGCAAGCCAATGCTTCCCCAGAGCCTCCCTGAAACACCGAGAAAACAGACTCTAGAAAATCACTTTAATTGGAGGCTCCTGATTCTAATTTTTTAAAAAGATTTGCTTTTCATCAATTTGTATACCTTGGATATTTAATTGCATTTCCCATTTTGGGGGTATACACATGCACCTGGCATGTTTTCAAGCCACTAGGGCCAGGACTCAAACTGTGCAGGTGACCATGTGGGAGGCAGACACTCTAACCACCATGCTGCCAGCCCAAGCTGTGCCTTTTTAAAAACCAACATTTCCTCAGAAAATTGCATAGTGACTCAAACAGATCCAACAAGAAATAAGCTACCAGCCTCTTTCGGGTAATGGGACTAGGGTCAATGGTGGCAATCTCTGTAAGTCCTGCTGCTCCCATCACAGTTACCCTTGACACAGTCTATTCAGAGCAATCAGAAAGTAAGATTATGCCATGTGGAGAGGGACTAGAAGTCGATGTTAATGGTAGAGCAAAGAAAAAAATTAAAGGCTGGCTAAGATCTATTAAACTGTATTTGCAGGGCCAGCAGGTGGCTTGGTAGATAAGGTGCTGGATTCCCCATGGTTTGAGTCCTGGACCTAGTAACTTGAAAATCATGCCAGGCATGTGTGGCCAAAATCATGAGAAGGGAATGTGGGAGAAGGGATTGCAGTGTGGCCACCCCCTGGAGGATGATTTCTCACTTTCTGTCTCTGTCTCTCTTGGTCTCTTTGGTGAGCACACATGCCATGCATTTCCTCTTACACTGTGTGCTCCACTCGAGGGCAGGAATTGCATTTTACTCATGATTGTCTCCAGGGGAACTAGTGTAATTCCTGGTGTGTAAAACATGCTTAAGCAAGGTCTGCTCATTTACGATAAAGTGCTCTACATTAACGAAAGATTGTTTATTGACAGAGGGTAGGTGTGTGCATGTGTGAGAGAGAGAGAGAGAGCGCACATGCAAGAGCACGCACGAGAGAGCGAGCACTCCCTAACAAGGCCTGGTGACCCCACAGTTCCTTTTCCTTTAGTTCTCTATCCGGTCAGAATGCTGGGCACAGAAGTACATGCATTTGAAAGCTCGTTGGCCACGTAGGATCCACCTTCCTCTGCACAGCACTTAAGCATTGCACTACATCTAATTACAGCTGGCCCCAGTGCTGTAATTAGATGCATCAAAAACAAACCTTGGGGCCAGTAGGTTGTGTGGTGGTTAAGGCACTGGACTCCCACATGGCTGACTGTGGTTCAAGTCTGGGACCTGGTGGCTTGCTTTCTCATTTTCTCTTTCTCTGTCTCTCTCTTGAGCACACATGCCCTATAGCAAATTTTAAAAATAATGATAATAATAATAACAAATTAAATTAAATTAATATTTCTTTTATAAAAAACCTTAAAACTTAGGGTTTTCATTATGTTAAGGCAGTTTTCTCCATTTTTAATCAGGCTGTTTGGGAGAGAAGGGGTAGATACTACTGTATATTTAGGATCAAATTGAATCCTTTGTTGTCTTATAAAATAAATCAAGCTGATGGTATATATTTAAGATTTCTGCTTATTTTATACAAAGAATTTCACAGGGGGCCAGCAGGTGGTGTAATGGTTACGTCGTTGGACTCCCACATAGTCGACTGCAGTTTGAGTCCCAAATGGCTTAAAACTCATGCCAGACATGTGTGCATCCCCCAAACCCCAAGAGGAGAATGGAGAAGGGACCATGGTCTGGCCACTCCCCCAGGGGGTGATTTCTCACTTTCTGTCTCTCTGTCTTTCTGGCAAGTGCATGTGCCCTATAGCAAAAACCTCTCTTAAGAAAAAAAAAAAAAACAAAGAATTTCACAGAAGGACTCCTTAATTGTGAATAAAGAGATAGTATTCCTTGTATATAATGCAGAAAAATCAACATTTTTCTCTGATTGTATTTTTTCCACATAAAGTAAGATTCTACTTAAGGGCTCCTCCCACCATTTGAAAAATGGCCTGATGTACACAGTCAGGTGTTTCTGTTGTTGTTTTGTTCTATTATCAGTTATTCTTTCAGAACCAGAACATAGCCAGGATGTCATTTTTCAGGCAATTATAAACATTCCATGATACAGAATTTTTTTGTTTTTTTTTAGGATTTTGCCTTAGGGCACGTGTGTTCACCGGAGAGAGAGAGAGACAGTGTGAAGGAATCACCTCCCCGCTTCTGGGGAGATGGCAGCACCACAGTCCCTTTTCCTCCTGAGATCTTGGGCACCCCTGCACATATGCCCAGCATGATTTTCTTTCTTTCTTTCTTTCTTTCTTTTTTTTTTTGGAGAGGTTTTTGCTACAGAAAGACAGAGAGAGACAGAAAGCAAGAAATCACCCCACAGGGGGGATAGCCACGCCGCAATCCCTTCTCCTCCATTCTCCTCTCGGGATCTTGGGCACGCGTGCACATGCACCTAGCGTGCGTTTAAGCCACCGGGTCCGGGATTTGAACCATGGTGGACTACATGGGAGTCCAGCAACATAGCCATTATGCTAACTGCTGGTCCCAAGAGTTTCCATAATCTGGATAGGACATACATTTCTCTGGGAAGAGAGAGATCTACCACTTTGTAGGTAAGAAGATCTTAAAAATAATACACATATAAATAAAGTACATATATGTATATTTTATATAATATATGCAATGTATATATATAAATGTGTACATATATATATAAAAGTATAAAATCCAGTGAACAAAGAGCAAGAGGATTCTCCAGTGCATTTCTGAAACCCCTGTGTCTCCCCATCCCAGCTGTGTGATTTTCACCTTCCTGGATGAGAAGTCACATAAGCAGCCCATCACCTCCGAGCATACACAGGAGGTCAAAAATCAATTATCTGAGAGGAATATTAGAGTCCATTTCATCAAGGCAAGTCTCTTTTCTCTTTTAGTTTTGCTATAGGCCACAAGTGCTCGCCAGACAGCCAGAGAGTGATAGAAAGCAAGAAATCACCTCCTATCCCGGCATGATGCCCATGCTGCACTCCCTTCTCCGTTCTCCTCTTGGGATTTTAGGCATGCACGCACAAGTGCCCAGCATGAGGTTTAACCCACCGGGACTGGGACTTGAACTGTGGTTGACTTCATGGGAGTCAGCAATGTAACCATTATGCCATCCGCTGGTCCCAATCAACGTGCGTTTCTAAAATCCCCTTGTTAGTAGTAGTTCAGTGTATCTTGTAAAAGAAATCTAGCCATATTCATTAATGAGAATCCCAACCCCTATGTTCCTTCCCGTCCCTTCTACAGGCAGTAAACTCGGTCATGCCACAGTCAAGGCGACAGCTGCGTGAAGCTGAAATAACAGGGGCCGACTGAGATCGTGATACTTAGGTGATCTGAGACAGGACCTCTCCGAACCCCTCTCTTGTTTTCTTTGCTCTCTTGATACAAAATAAGATTCTTTCTTTTATTATTTTAAGAGAGATTTTTGCCATAGGATGTGTGTACTTGCCAGACAGACAGACAGAAATTGATAAATCACTCCCCCAGGTGGGATGGCCACACTACAATCCCTTCTCCTCCATTCTCCTCTCGGGATTTTGGGTACACATGTACACGCACCCAGCATGAGTTTGAAGCCACTGGGTCTGGGACTCAACTGCCGTCAGTCACGTGAAAGTCCAGTGACATAACCATTATACCATCTGCTGGTCCCATTAAACTTATTTAATTTTAGCTGCCATTAGCTATGACAGAGACAGCATTTGGGGGAAGAATGAACACATAATTTATAGCCCTTCTTTACCTAGGTTTTTAACTTTTCTTTTGCTTTTCTAATTTTTAAAAAATTTATTTATTAATTATGACTTTTTTTTTTTAATTTGATGAGAGAAAAGAAAACTGAGAAAGCAAGAAGCCAGATCTGGGACTCAAACTGTGGTTAGCCATGTGGGAGTCCAGCACCTTAACCACCACACCACCTGCCACCCCTGCTTTTTTAAATTTTTTTATTTTTTTTATTTTGCTAGAGAGCATGTGTGCTTGCCAGTGAGAGACAGAGAGAGGGGGAGAGGAGAAAGCACACCCCATGGTGAATGTCATGCCACAATTGCTTCTCCTCTGTCTCTCCCTCCTTTTGGGATTTTGGGCACACGTGCCTGGCATGTAAGATCCAGCTGCTTTATCTACCAAGCCGTGGAGCTGTCCACTACCTCATTTTCATAAGATAACACTTATGGAGGTCAGCAGGTGGCATAGCGGTTAAGGCACTGGACACTCCCACATGGTCGACCATGGTTTGAGTCCCAGATTTGGTGGCTTGCTTTCTCTCTTTCTCTGTCTCTCTTTCTCTCTTTCTCTGTCTCTCTTTCTGGGTCTCTCTCTGGTCAAATTTTTAAAAATAAATAAAATTAATTCTCTTTTTAAAAAAGATAACATTTATGTACTCTATGGGACTAGGCTTCCTCTGCTCCTCAGATTTTCCCATACACATCCCGGTTTTATGACTGAGGGCTCTTCCTCACTCTCTACCCAGGAGACAGACTATAGTATGAGACTTGTTGAAGAATTAACAGCTCTCCACCACGCACACAGAGTCCCTCAAACTATGACTTCTGAAAAGTAATGTAGAAATACTCCCACCCCCAGTTCCCTCACCAATCTGCTGGGATAAATATACAACCTGTATTCTGTATCTCTGCGCTGACTTCCCTGCAGGATAAGCTGCAGTCCCTCACTGCAGTAGCTGGCCTAACACCATGTCTTAGCTGGGCTGTTTTCTGTACCATCTCCTCCCCTTCCTGCGGTGAAGTCTATACTTCCTAAAACAGACCACTGCACTTGAATCTTTGCTTCCAGGTCCTTCAGGGGAGTGCATATGAAGATGCACAACACTGAAACAGAATTGAAGTAGTACTTGAACCATGAAAGCAAAGGAGACCTTTTCTTTTTCTTCGTATTTTCCCATGTAGGAGCCTCACCTAGATTCCTGCGTATTTTCCCATGTAGGAGCCTCACCTAGATTCCTGCTCAGTTGCTTGTCCTCGTTGGAGTGACACTCATTGGCTCGTGGCTCTTTACTGAATAGGGAGGAAAACTCAAAAATGTGCAAAGACTTAGGATGCATTCCTTCTTCTGCCTACCCCAGAGCAATATGTGTGATAAGTCTGGAGGAATGTTCTGCCTCATGAATTTAAATCTTCCCTTAAGTGGGCTGTCCCAAATCCACAATAGAGATTGGAGGAGGACATACAAATTATTAAAAACTCTTGGGACCAGCAGTTAGCATAATGGCTATGTCGCTGAACTCCCATGTAGTCGACTGTGGTTTGAGTCCCAGACCCGGTGGCTTAAACTTCCTGCGTATTTTCCCATGTAGGAGCCTCACCTAGATTCCTGCTCAGTTGCTTGTCCTCGTTGGAGTGACACTCATTGGCTCGTGGCTCTTTACTGAATAGGGAGGAAAACTCAAAAATGTGCAAAGACTTAGGATGCATTCCTTCTTCTGCCTACCCCAGAGCAATATGTGTGATAAGTCTGGAGGAATGTTCTGCCTCATGAATTTAAATCTTCCCTTAAGTGGGCTGTCCCAAATCCACAATAGAGATTGGAGGAGGACATACAAATTATTAAAAACTCTTGGGACCAGCAGTTAGCATAATGGCTATGTCGCTGAACTCCCATGTAGTCGACTGTGGTTTGAGTCCCAGACCCGGTGGCTTAAACTCACACCAGGCACATGTGCATGCATGCCCAAGATCCCGAGGAGAATGGAGGAGAAGGGATTTTGGCATGGCCAC